TCTGCTCGGCTGCTAGGAGGGACTTCTCGAGGAGCTCGACAGTGAGAGTGGTGGGGCAGACTGCGAGTAGGTCGTTCCTGACTCCGCGAAGGGAGTCAGGGAGGCGGGTGACAATGTAGTAGAGAGTGAAGTACTGGGGGGGGGGTTCTTGGCGCAGAACTCAGCAGGAAGTGCAGCGCGGAAGCGAGCGTCACTAGTGCGCAGGTGGGTAATGAGGTCGGCTACTGTGGCAAAAGCAGCAAGGTCGGGAAAGAGGTACGATAGCATGAGGCGGCTCAGTGCAGCAGTGGCAGGGGTGGAGTAGCGTGCAATAACGGTGTCGTACAAGGTCTGAGCACTCTTGTATGACCCAAAGTGCGCACGCTCAGCAGGAGGGAGGTGGCGACGCACAGCAAGACGTGCAGCAGCATCGTGTGTGGCCCACTGTGAGCGCACAGTGGCATCCTCAGTAGCAGCAGGGGCGGGAGAGGCATCAGAAGTGAGATCAAATAGAGAGAGGCCGTCAGCTCTGTCGCACTGTAGGAAAAGCAGTAGGTCGTCTACCCACACGTCAAAGTCGATGGCTCTGCCCTCAGCGTCAAAGGTGAGGACACTGGGGGTAGCCATGACAGCAGTAGAGAGAGGGCAGTGTGCAGAGGAAAGCTCAGTGCTCACCAGACGGGGCAGTGCAGGAAGGGCTCGGGCGGCTCGGGCAGCTCGGGCGGCTCGGGCGGCGCTGCGGCTCGGCTGCTGGGCGGCTCGAGCGACTCGGCGGCACGGCTGCTGGGGCGGCTCGGCTGCTGGGGCGGCTCGGCTGCTGGGGCGGCTCGGCTGCTGGGGCGGCTCGGCTTCTACGGCGGCTCGGCTGCTGGGGCGGCTCGGCTGCTACGGCGGCTCGGCTGCTGGGGCGGCGGGGCCGGGAGATGAGGCGGCGGGGCCGGCAGGTGCAGCAGCAGGGGCCGGTAGGGGTAGCGGCGGGGCCAGTTGAAGCAGCGGCGGGGCCTGCAGAGGGGACGGCGGGGCCGTCGGGTGCAGCGGCGGGGCCAGTAGAGGGGACGGCGGGGCCGTCGGGTGCAGCGGCGGAGCCGGTAGAGGGGACGGCAGGGGCCGTCGGGTGCAGCGGCGGAGCCGGTAGAGGGGACGGCAGGGGCCGTCGGGTGCAGCGGCGGAGCCGGTAGAGGAGACGGCGGGGCCGTCAGGCGCGGCTGCGGGGCCGTCAGAAGGGGACGGCGTGGCCGTCAGAAAGGGACGGCGGAGGGGCCGTCGGTTTCAGCAGCAGGGCCGGCAGAGGGGACGGCGAAGCCGTCGGGTGCAGCTGCGGGGCCGGCAGGGGCGACGGCGGGGCCGTCAGAGGGGACGGCGGGGCCGTCAGGTGCAGCGGCGGGGCCGTCAGAGGGGACGGCGGGGCTGCGTCTGAGCAGGCGGCAGGGCCGCGTCGTAGCGGGCGGCGGGGCCGCGGCTGAGCAGGCGGCGGGACCGCGTCGTAGCGGGCGGCGGGGCCGCGGCTGAGCAGGCGGCGGGGCCGCGTCTGAGCGGGCGGCAGGGCCGCGTCGTAGCGGGCGGCGGGGCCGCGTCGTAGCGGGCGGCGGGGCCGCGTCTGAGCAGGCGGCGGGGCCGCGTCCGAGCAGGCGGCGGGGCCGCGTCCGAGCAGGCGGCGGGGCCGCGATCGAAATGGCGGCGGGGCCGCATCCGAAGGGGCGGCAGGGCCGCGAGGGAAGGGCGACACGGAGGGTCGCTCGAGCGAGAGGAAAAAAAAGTTTGCGCGCCTCGGGGCGCGCTTCGGTGGGCCCTAGGCGAAGTTCCCACAGGGAACCCGCTCTATACCATGTGAGAATTGTAGAACTGGAATGTGTGAACTATGAATGAAGGCAGTACAAATATGAAACCCTAACTGGGTTGTACCCCCTATGGGATACCCCACTACAGCCTACACAATAGTATAAGCTATAGATATGTTCTGACACATCTGGCACAACTGTCAGCACGTGCTCGACTGCCTACTGGCACCTGGAAAGTGGGTGCGCGTATGGGCTATTGTCATATGCGTGTGCAGTTGGGTGCATAGTCCAATTGTACTAGATGTATTCATAAATGTATTGATATTTATGAAAACAACGATTCATTTTACAGAGGTCCAACTCAAATATGCAAAAATATTGTTGTACAAGTGATGAGAATACACTGAAAGGGCTACTGTATTTTAATCGCCCAATTTTACAGGGCCTCCAATTTCTCATTAAGTTTGCCTATTGCTGTTTCAATTTTCATTTTTACTTGCACGTTTTTATTTCTGCGGCAGCGGTGCTTGTCAGAGGTCCACTAGTGATCCCCGATTGATCCTAGGAAAGGGTTACAGGCACGTTGGCCTGGGGGGTTATGGGCGCACTTACCCGCTATACAAACAAGCCCTTTTATCCCAATGGTCTAGTGGTTGGGATTCTGAAATGGTATCAGAGCGAAGGTCTCGGGTTCGAATCCCAGTGTATGCACCTCGGGCATCCCAGTGCGGGGAAGTGTCAGAGGTCCACTGGTGATCCCCGATTGATCATAGGGAAGGGTTACAGGCACGTTGGCCTGGAGGGTTATGGGCGCACTGACCCGCTACTTAACAAGCCCTTTTATCCCAATGGTCTAGTGGTTGGGATTCTGACATGGTATCAGAGCGAAGGTCTTGGGTTCAAATCCTGGTGTGTGCACCTCGGGCATCCCAGTGCGGGGGGGTGTCAGAGGTCCACTGGTGATCCCCGATTGATCATAGGAAAGGGTTACAGGCATGTTGGCCTGGGGGGTTATGGGCGCACTTACCCGCTACACAAACAAGCCCTTTTATCCCAATGGTTCTAGTGGTTGGGATTCTGACATGGTATCAGAGCGAAGGTCTCGGGTTCGAATCCCAGTATATGCACTTCGGGCATCCCAATGCGGGGGGGTGTTAGAGGTCCACTGGTGATCCCCGATTGATCCTAGGGAAGGGTTACAGGCATGTTGGCCTAGAGGGTTATGGGCGCACTGACGTGCTACTTAACAAGCCCTTTTATCCCAATGGTCTAGTGGTTGGGATTCTGACAGTGCTCTGTAGTGAATTACGCAATGGCGCGTTACAGCCCTTGTGTTTTCCGTTTCAGTTTCCGTTGATTGAGACAGAATCCGTCGACGGAGACGGATTTCCTCGACACGAAAAGGGGGCGTGGGGGGAGGACGCGGGGTCAACGCCAGCTCGAGCGGGGACCACCTCTCGTCACTCCGAGCTAGCAGAGCTCGTATCAGGCGGGCAGGGGGCCGGCTCCCGCCCCTCACGTGCCCCGCTAGGCGACGGCGGGGAAAACGAAATCCCTCGAGGGAAATCCCGCAGGGGCAAAAGGGTGTTTCCGGAGGGTTGTGACTCATATCTTCCCAAAAATGTTTCAAACCTGGAAGCCACCACAAATTCGACACCCACTCCCCGCATTTCCCGGTAACAAGGTGTACCTGCTATATGTAATTGGCTTGGTTTCGTCAAATTAAATTCTGTCGCTCAACACAATGGGCGGATTGTTGATTCCCAGAACTGATTTTCCCGTAACCCAAGTTATCCAAGCGACACCTTTCGATTTCGCGAAGCAAATGTTCGTATTTGGGGGAGCTGTGTCCGCGTAGAGCTAGCAGTTTGTTTGAGTGATATGCTGTGTCCGCATAGACCCTCCAGGATACGGTCGTGTTTGGGTTCGGATTGACTCTCTGCCATCCGAACATCCAAACAGTTGGGGTGTGAAAAAGCCAAAACGAAGTGAGTATGACCCGCCCTAAGGTGTTGGAATTTGTCATTGTGTTTCGGCCAGAAAAATCATCCCGAAAAAACCGCCACAGCTCATGTAGTATCGAGTCGCCCTCCACAGCTTCGGTTCTTTATATCCAAGAACCCATGAATAAGATCAGCGTCAATTAGTTAACGCTCGATCGCGGAACCTAATTCCACAAATTAGATCAGCGACATTCAGAACTCGGTACCCCATTGAACTGAAAACAATGAGGGACAATTTCCTTCGCGATGCTCTTTGGGGTGTCCGTTTCCTCGCCGTGTTCGCGTTAGTAGCTTTAATAACCTTCCAGGAGAAGCTACTCTACGTCCCCGTGGTTCCCGGAGCCAGACGAGAATACCCGTTTACGCCGGATTGCCTTCGGATGCATTTCGAGGACATATGGCTGACGGCAAAGGACGGCGTTAAATTGCACGCGTGGCTGCTCAAGTACACCCCCTCCACTCGAGGTGCCGCAAATCTTTAGTTTCCGGCACTCGGGGTGCACCTTGGCGAATTATCTGATCGCCGACGGATGCTGCCGTGGCTCATAGTCTGCCGCCATTATGATTCTGGTAATTTAGTATTCGGTAGAGCACAGGTATGGTGGCCGGCCGTTGTTGGTTTGAGGCCCACTCTAATGCTTCTGTGCTTGCCCTTCCTGTTGCTCAGACTTCAGCCTTGCTCCACTTCGGATGTGCATGTACTCCTGCTGCTGTGCATGTACTGCTGCTGTGCATGTACTGCTGGTGTGCATGTACTGCTGGTGTGCATGTACTGCTGCTGTGCATGTACTCCTGCTGTGCATGTACTCCTGCTGGGCATGTACTCCTGCTGGGCATGTACTCCTGCTGGGCATGTACTGCTGCTGTGCATGTACTCCTTCTGCTGTGCATGTACTGCTGCTGCTGTGCATGCCTCACCTCATCGTATGGTGATCTGCTATTATGGGTTAATCTTGCCTACTCCGTTGATATAACAGCTGTGTGAAGGCCCCATATTGCGTTTGATTTGGAGCATCGGACCAGACAGTCCAGATTTTAGCCTCTCTCCGAGTTCATGTCTATGATGTTATTAGGCAGTAACCATTCTGTGCCCACTCCAACGTAGGTTCACCATGCCTATGACTCACTCGCAATGCCCATGTTTCACCATGCCTATGACTCACTCGCAATGCCCATGTTTCACCATGCCTATGACTCACTCGCAATGCCCATGTTTCACCATGCCTATGACTCACTCGCAATGCCCATGTTTCACCATGCCTATGACTCGCTCACAATGCCCATGTTTCACCATGCCAAGCTCTCCGTGCCCGCTTGCCCCTTCCTTTCATACTACGTGCAGGACGACATCCATTCTTATTCCACACTGCATGTACCACTGTGGTCACTGACTCGTTGCATCTTACACCACCCTGTTGCACCGCACCGTGCAGGCAGCACTGGATCATCTGCTGGGGTGGGAGGACATAGACGTGGATCGCATCGTGGTGTTTGGGCGGTCGCTGGGAGGGGCCGTGGGGGCCGACCTCGTCCACCGCAACCCCCACAAGGTGAGCTCAGCTCCGTTTTTGACCGTTGACTTCATTTGAAGCGCGAGCTACTGTTGACCGTTGACTTGATTTGAAGCGTGAGCTACTGTTGACTTGATTTGAAGCACGAGCTACTGTTGACTGTTGACTTCATTTGAAGCGCGAGCTACTGTTGACCGTTGACTTGATTTGAAGCGCGAGCTACTGTTGACTTGATTTGAAGCACGAGCTACTGTTGACTGTTGACTTCATTTGAAGCGCGAGCTACTGTTGACCGTTGACTTGATTTGAAGCGCGAGCTACTGTTGACTTGATTTGAAGCACGAGCTACTGTTGACTGTTGACTTCATTTGAAGCGCGAGCTACTGTTGACCGTTGACTTGATTTGAAGGGCGAGCTACTGTTGACCGTTGACTTGATTTGAAGCGCGAGCTAGTGTTGACTGTTGACTTGATTTGAAGCGCGAGCTAGTGTTGACTGTTGACTTGATTTGAAGCACGAGCCACTGTTGACTGTTGACTTGATTTGAAGCGCGAGCTATGTGTGTGTGCCTTGATGGCTCGGGAAAATACTGAAGCTCTGTAAAGAGAGCTGTGCACACAGGTGTGTGTATGTGCACGCTGGGTGGCATTCTCCCTCTGTGCTAGGCATTGTGGCGTCACTCAACAGGCTTGCCCGCTCCGCTCGCAGGGGCGCACGATTGATGTGATGAGCAAGGTGGGATTCATATGCATGTGTGTATGTGTCCTGTATGCTACTCGAGGCTGGAGTACATGCGTGGTGGCAGCATGACCCACCGTTCTGTCCGTGTGGCCCACCAAGGGTGTTTAACCACACCCTTGAACAGGCTTGTGAATTGGGAAAGTGGCAGGAATTGATGTGATCTGCAAGGTAAGGCTGATGGCATTGGTGAGAGGTGAAACTGATAACACCCTGACTGCTCATGCTACCACCACGCACAGCTTGACACACCCTTTGTGTTCTCCATCTGGTCGGTAGAAAGGCATATCTTTGCCCCTTCTGTGCGCCTCCCTCACAGGGCCTCAAAACACAATTCAGGTGGCCGGCATATGCTATAAACATTCCTCCACCCCCTCGGTGCTCCTTCCTACACCTCCACCACGTGCCCGTTGTTTTCTACGCGGAGCTTCTGACCAGCAAAGGACAAGCCATGCTGCCCTGATGTTTGGGGTTTTAATGTCTTTTGTCTATTCTCCTCCATTAAGGCATCTCAGCACTCTTTCAATCACACCCCACCCTTCGTTGACGATTCCCCACCCACAGACACCCCCATTCTCTTCCTATCCGGAGCAAAGGACGAGCTCATGCCGCCCGCACACATGCGTCAGCTGTACGCGGAGGCGCAGCGGAACACAGGTGGCAGCTCACTATTCGTGGAGGTGGCAGCGGGTGGCCACATGGACACGTGGCTGCGGGGCGGGCAGCGCTACTGGCGTGTGCTGAGTCTGTTTATAACGCACCATGCTGGAGGGGGTGTGGGGGGAGGTGTGGCGGAAGGGGAGGGGGAGAGAGGAGGGAAGGAGGAGCTGATAGAGGAGTTGAGTGAGGTGGTGAGGGAATCGGCGGGAGAGCTGACGCTGAGAAGAGTGGGGGATGGTGCCAAGATGTGAGCATGTTTTGTCGCAGGAAGGGCAACCCAGGCACATGGGCACATGGGCACATGGGCTGGCACGTGGCTGAGGGAGGGTGAACAATGCGAGCTGCTGCGGAGCATGGGCTTGTGTGCCATGTGAGCATGGGCTTGTGTGCCATGTGAGCATGGGCTTGTGTGCCATGTGAGCATGGGCTTGTGTGCCATGTGAGCATGGGCTTGTGTGCCATGTGAGCATGGGCTTGTGTGCCATGTGAGCATGGGCTTGTGTGCCATGTGAGCATGGGCATGTGTGCCATGTGAGTGCATGGCAGTGACGTGCATGGGCAGTCCTGTCGCCGCAAGGGGAGGGAAAGAAAGTAGGCAGGGATGAGAAGCATGTGTTGTGGCCAGCCACTCCCCACAGCCACCTCAATTGTGCTGCTTGACCAACATCTCATCATGACCCACTCTTGCCTGTAGTTCTCTGAGCAAGCTTATAACTGTTCCCCATTTTTGGATGATCCGCTTTACTTATTGAGAGTAACTCTAGTAATGTTCCAACTACCTTAGTGTACCACTCTTACAAATAATGTTGGACCAAGAGCTCATCCCAAAGAAATGGTCCATACTTCAAGCAGGTACTTATGAAATTTACAGTTAAGATGAGACGGTGGGATTGTCCAAAAGGCCCGTAAGCACATGCTGTCCAAGGTAGTGCATACGAGTGTATGCCCCACCCCACCCCAACACACGAGTGTAGTGTACACGCCCCTGCCCACCCCAACCCAGATAACAGTAAGCCCCACCCCACCGCATCGCACACGAGTGTATGCCCCTCTCCACCCCAACACACATGACTGTAGCCCTCCTACCCCCAGCACACACGGATGTATGCCCTTGCACACCCCATGACACACACGGATGTATGCCCTTGCACACCCCAGGACACATACGGATGTATGCCCTTGCCCATCCCGACAAATACGAGTGTACGCCCCACCCCACCGCAGCAGGCGCACATCACATGAGGGCACAGGCGCACATCACATGAGGGCACAGGCGCACATCACATGAGGGCACAGGCGCACATCACATGAGGGCACAGGCGGAGGATGAAGGGGGGGGCTGCGGGGGCATGGGCGGTGCGTGGGGTGCGTTGACGGGGTGGTGGAACTCGTTCGTGTCCAGCCCGTACTGGTGGGGGGGGGAGGAGGAGGGGGTGGCAAGAAGGGGGGGGTGGTGGCAGGTGGGTGAGAGGGCGAGAGGCACAAGCAGAAGCGAGAGGCACAAGCAGAGGCGAGAGGCACAAGCAGAGGCGAGAGGCACAAGCAGAGGCGAGAGGCACAAGCAGAGGCGAGAGGCACAAGCAGAGGCGAGAGGCACAAGCAGAGGCGAGAGGCACAAGCAGAGGCGAGAGGCACAAGCAGAGGCGAGAGGCACAAGCAGAGGCGAGAGGCACAAGCAGAGGCGAGAGGCACAAGCAGAGGCGAGAGGCACAAGCAGAGGCGGGAGGCACAAGCAGAGGCGGGCAAATCTGTCGCTACAGCCCGGGCTGTGTGGGCGCGTTGACGGGGTGGTGGAACTCACTGGTGTCCAGCTTGTACTGGCGGGGGGAGTGGGAAGAGCGGGGTGGGAGGGATAGTGGCAGGGGAAGGGATGGAGGAAGGGCGGGGGGGATGGGGTTGGGGTAGCAGGTGAGTGAGAGAGCAAGCGGCAGAAGCAGGGGCAGGCACATCCGGCAGTAAAGGGCATCCGAGTCGACTCAAAAGTCAAAGGGCATCCGAGTCGACTCAAAAGTCAAAGGGCATCCGAGTCGACTCAAAAGTCAAAGGGCATCCGTGTTGACTCAAAAGTCAAAGGGCATCCGAGTCGACTCAAAAGCCAAAGGGCATCCGAGTCGACTCAAAAGTCAAAGGGCATCCGAGTCGACTCAAAAGTCAAAGGGCATCCGAGTCGACTCAAAAGTCAAAGGGCATCCGAGTCGACTCAAAAGTCAAAGGGCATCCGAGTCGACTCAAAATTCAAAGGGCATCCGAGTCGACTCCAAAGTCAAAGGGCATCCGAGTCGACTCAAAAGTCAAAGGGCATCCGAGTCGACTCAAGAGTAAAAGGGCATCCGAGTTGAGTCAAAAGTCAAAGGGCATCCGAGTCGACTCAAAAGTCAAAGGGCATCCGAGTCGACTCAAAAGTCAAAGGGCATCCGAGTCGACTCAAAAGTCAAAGGGCATCCGAGTCGACTCAAAAGTCAAAGGGCATCCGTGTCGACTCAAAAGTCAAAGGGCATCCGAGTCGACTCAAAAGTCAAATGGCATACGAGTCGACTCAAAAGTCAAAGGGCATCCGAGTCGACTCAAAAGTCAAAGGGCATCCGAGTCGACTCAAAAGTCAAAGGGCATCCGTGTCGACTCAAAAGTCAAAGGGCATCCGAGTCGACTCAAAAGTCAAAGGGCATCCGAGTCGACTCAAAAGTCGAAGGGCATCCGAGTCGACTCAAAAGTCAAAGGGCATCCGAGTCGACTCAAAAGTCAAAGGGCATCCGAGTCGACTCAAAAGTCAAAGGGCATCCGAGTCGACTCAAAAGTCAAAGGGCATCCGAGTCGACTCAAAAGTCAAAGGGCATCCGAGTCGACTCAAAAGTCAAAGGGCATCCGAGTCGACTCAAAAGTCAAAGGGCATCCGAGTCGACTCAAAAGTCAAAGGGCATCCGTGTCGACTCAAAAGTCAAAGGGCATCCGAGTCGACTCAAAAGTCAAAGGGCATCCGAGTCGACTCAAAAGTCGAAGGGCATCCGAGTCGACTCAAAAGTCAAAGGGCATCCGAGTCGACTCAAAAGTCAAAGGGCATCCGTGTCGACTCAAAAGTCAAAGGGCATCCGAGTCGACTCAAAAGTCAAAGGGCATCCGAGTTGACTCAAAAGTCAAAGGGCATCCGAGTCGAATCAAAAGTCAAAGGGCATCCGTGTCGACTCAAAAGTCAAAGGGCATCCGTGTCGACTCAAAAGTCAAAGGGCATCCGAGTCGACTCAAAAGTCAAAGGGCATCAGAGTCGACTCAAAAGTCAAAGGGCATCCGTGTCGACTCAAAAGTCAAAGGGCATCCGAGTCGACTCAAAAGTCAAAGGGCATCCGAGTCGACTCAAAAGTCAAAGGGCATCCGAGTCGACTCAAAAGTCAAATCAAAGGGCATCCGAGTCGACTCAAAAGTCAAAGGGCATCCGAGTCGACTCAAAAGTCAAAGGGCATCCGAGTCGACTCAAAAGTCAAAGGGCATCCGAGTCGACTCAAAAGTCAAAGGGCATCCGTGTCGACTCAAAAGTCAAAGGGCATCCGAGTCGACTCAAAAGTCAAAGGGCATCCGAGTCGACTCAAAAGTCAAAGGGCATCCGAGTCGACTCAAAAGTCAAAGGGCATCCGAGTCGACTCAAAAGTCAAAGGGCATCCGAGTCGACTCAAAAGTCAAAGGGCATCCGAGTCGACTCAAAAGTCAAAGGGCATCCGTGTCGACTCAAAAGTCAAAGGGCATCCGAGTCGACTCAAAAGTCAAAGGGCATCCGTGTTGACTCAAAAGTCAAAGGGCATCCGAGTCGACTCAAAAGTCAAAGGGCATCCGAGTCGACTCAAAAGTCAAAGGGCATCCGAGTCGACTCAAAAGTCAAAGGGCATCCGAGTCGACTCAAAAGTCAAAGGGCATCCGTGTTGACTCAAAAGTCAAAGGGCATCCGAGTCGACTCAAAAGCCAAAGGGCATCCGAGTCGACTCAAAAGTCAAAGGGCATCCGAGTCGACTCAAAAGTCAAAGGGCATCCGAGTCGACTCAAAAGTCAAAGGGCATCCGAGTCGACTCAAAAGTCAAAGGGCATCCGAGTCGACTCAAAAGTCAAAGGGCATCCGAGTCGACTCAAAAGTCAAAGGGCATCCGAGTCGACTCAAAAGTCAAAGGGCATCCGTGTCGACTCAAAAGTCAAAGGGCATCCGAGTCGACTCAAAAGTCAAAGGGCATCCGAGTCGACTCAAAAGTCGAAGGGCATCCGAGTCGACTCAAAAGTCAAAGGGCATCCGAGTCGACTCAAAAGTCAAAGGGCATCCGAGTCGACTCAAAAGTCAAAGGGCATCCGAGTCGACTCAAAAGTCAAAGGGCATCCGTGTCGACTCAAAAGTCAAAGGGCATCCGAGTCGACTCAAAAGTCAAAGGGCATCCGTGTTGACTCAAAAGTCAAAGGGCATCCGAGTCGACTCAAAAGTCAAAGGGCATCCGAGTCGACTCAAAAGTCAAAGGGCATCCGAGTCGACTCAAAAGTCAAAGGGCATCCGAGTCGACTCAAAAGTCAAAGGGCATCCGTGTTGACTCAAAAGTCAAAGGGCATCCGAGTCGACTCAAAAGCCAAAGGGCATCCGAGTCGACTCAAAAGTCAAAGGGCATCCGAGTCGACTCAAAAGTCAAAGGGCATCCGAGTCGACTCAAAAGTCAAAGGGCATCCGAGTCGACTCAAAAGTCAAAGGGCATCCGAGTCGACTCAAAAGTCAAAGGGCATCCGAGTCGACTCAAAAGTCAAAGGGCATCCGAGTCGACTCAAAAGTCAAAGGGCATCCGAGTCGACTCAAAAGTCAAAGGGCATCCGTGTCGACTCAAAAGTCAAAGGGCATCCGAGTCGACTCAAAAGTCAAAGGGCATCCGAGTCGACTCAAAAGTCGAAGGGCATCCGAGTCGACTCAAAAGTCAAAGGGCATCCGAGTCGACTCAAAAGTCAAAGGGCATCCGTGTCGACTCAAAAGTCAAAGGGCATCCAAGTCGACTCAAAAGTCAAAGGGCATCCGAGTTGACTCAAAAGTCAAAGGGCATCCGAGTCGACTCAAAAGTCAAAGGGCATCCGTGTCGACTCAAAAGTCAAAGGGCATCCGTGTCGACTCAAAAGTCAAAGGGCATCCGAGTCGACTCAAAAGTCAAAGGGCATCAGAGTCGACTCAAAAGTCAAAGGGCATCCGTGTCGACTCAAAAGTCAAAGGGCATCCGAGTCGACTCAAAAGTCAAAGGGCATCCGAGTCGACTCAAAAGTCAAAGGGCATCCGAGTCAACTCAAAAGTCAAAGGGCATCCGAGTCGACTCAAAAGTCAAAGGGCATCCGAGTCGACTCAAAAGCCAAAGGGCATCCGAGTCGACTCAAAAGTCAAAGGGCATCCGAGTCGACTCAAAAGTCAAAGGGCATCCGAGTCGACTCAAAAGTCAAAGGGCATCCGTGTGATGGCCTCAGCCCCGTACAGCAGCGCTTGCAGCCAGCGCATACACGCTCCAGGTGGCCTCAGATAAGCTCAGGTGGCTTCAGGTGCCCATGTCTCCCCTTCCCCTCATTTCCCTATTTCCCATTCCCCATCTCCCCATCCCCAATTTCCCCATCCCTCATTCCCCCATCCTCATCACACCTTCTCCAGAATCCTGTTCCGCCAGGCATCTGACAGCGCTGCTGCTCCCCCCTCTCCTCCTGCTGCTGCTGCACCGTCCGCTGCTCCCCCCACACCCACGCCACTCGCGCCACTCCCACCCGCACCACCACCACCAGCGTCAGCAGAGGAAGAGGGGACGGCGGAGGAGTAGGGAGGAGGGGGCGCCATGTGGGGCGGGCGGAGGAGCGGCTGGCGCAGGCGTGAGTTGGGGTGGCGGTGGGGGGCGATGTAGTCGTCGTCGTCCGCCAGTGCAGCATCGCTGTGCATGGCCCTCAGCATCATCGCCAGCAGCAGCGCCGTGCCCTGATGGGGCGCAATGGGGAGACAGGAGTGGTTGGTGGCGAGGAGAAGGGGGTTGCAAAGATGGCAGCAGCGGGGAAGCAGCAAAGGGTAGGAAGGTTGTGCAGAGGAAGGTTGTGCAGAGGAAGCATGAAGCCCCTCAACAGTGAACTTTGCTTTGTGAGAGGGCACAACTAGTGAAGGAAAATGTGGAAAGAACACTGAGAATGGCTTCGAGTTTGGCTACACGCAAAAAATGGCGTGTTAGGAAGGTGGGTCAACGCACCCACGCCCTCCCAACCATTCTGCTTGTAACCTCTCTGGCCAAACCCAGAGCCAATCACAGAGGAGGAAATGCTTGCTCTACACTCCCCTCTTTGGCAACGGCCTGATGCCATTATCCACTCACCAGCCTGATGTCATTATCCACTCACCAGCCTGATGCCATTATCCACTCACCAGCCTGATGCCATTATCCACTCACCAGCCTGATGCCATTATCCACTCACCAGCCTGATGTCATTATCCACTAACCAGCCTGATGCCATTATCCACTCACCAGCCTGATGCCATTATCCACTAACCAGCCTGATGCCATTATCCACTCACCAGCCTGATGTCATTATCCACTCACCAGCCTGATGTCATTATCCACTCACCAGCCTGATGCCATTATCCACTCACCAGCCTGATGCCATTATCCACTCACCAGCCTGATGCCATTATCCACTCACCAGCCTGATGTCATTATCCACTCACCAGCCTGATGCCATTATCCACTCACCAGCCTGATGCCATTATCCACTCACCAGCCTGATGCCATTATCCACTCACCAGCCTGATGTCATTATCCACTAACCAGCCTGATGCCATTATCCACTCACCAGCCTGATGCCATTATCCACTAACCAGCCTGATGCCATTATCCACTCACCAGCCTGATGTCATTATCCACTCACCAGCCTGATGTCATTATCCACTCACCAGCCTGATGCCATTATCCACTCACCAGCCTGATGCCATTATCCACTCACCAGCCTGATGCCATTATCCACTCACCAGCCTGATGCCATTATCCACTCACCAGCCTGATGCCATTATCCACTCACCAGCCTGATGCCATTATCCACTAACCAGCCTGATGCCATTATCCACTCACCAGCCTGATGTCATGATCCACTCACCAGCCTGATGTCATTATCCACTCACCAGCCTGATGCCATTATCCACTCACCAGCCTGATGCCATTATCCACTCACCAGCCTGATGCCATTATCCACTCACCAGCCTGATGCCATTATCCACTCACCAGCCTGATGCCATTATCCACTCACCAGCCTGATGCCATTATCCACTCACCAGCCTGATGCCATTATCCACTCACCAGCCTGATGTCATTATCCACTCACCAGCCTGATGTCATTATTCACTCACCAGCCTGATGCCATTATCCACTAACCAGCCTGATGCCATTATCCACTCACCAGCCTGATGTCATTATCCACTCACCAGCCTGATGTCATTATCCACTCACCAGCCTGATGCCATTATCCACTCACCAGCCTGATGCCATTATCCACTCACCAGCCTGATGCCATTATCCACTCACCAGCCTGATGCCATTATCCACTCACCAGCCTGATGCCATTATCCACTCACCAGCCTGATGCCATTATCCACTCACCAGCCTGATGCCATTATCCACTCACCAGCCTGATGCCATTATCCACTCACCAGCCTGATGCCATTATCCACTCACCAGCCTGATGTCATTATCCACTCACCAGCCTGATGTCATTATCCACTCACCAGCCTGATGCCATTATCCACTCACCAGCCTGATGCCATTATCCACTCACCAGCCTGATGCCATTATCCACTCACCAGCCTGATGCCATTATCCACTCACCAGCCTGATGCCATTATCCACTCACCAGCCTGATGCCATTATCCACTCACCAGCCTGATGCCATTATCCACTCACCAGCCTGATGTCATTATCCACTCACCAGCCTGATGCCATTATCCACTCACCAGCCTGATGCCATTATCCACTCACCAGCCTGATGCCATTATCCACTCACCAGCCTGATGTCATTATCCACTAACCAGCCTGATGCCATTATCCACTCACCAGCCTGATGCCATTATCCACTAACCAGCCTGATGCCATTATCCACTCACCAGCCTGATGTCATTATCCACTCACCAGCCTGATGTCATTATCCACTCACCAGCCTGATGCCATTATCCACTCACCAGCCTGATGCCATTATCCACTCACCAGCCTGATGCCATTATCCACTCACCAGCCTGATGCCATTATCCACTCACCAGCCTGATGCCATTATCCACTCACCAGCCTGATGCCATTATCCACTAACCAGCCTGATGCCATTATCCACTCACCAGCCTGATGTCATGATCCACTCACCAGCCTGATGTCATTATCCACTCACCAGCCTGATGCCATTATCCACTCATCAGCCTGATGCCATTATCCACTCACCAGCCTGATGCCATTATCCACTCACCAGCCTGATGCCATTATCCACTCACCAGCCTGATGCCATTATCCACTCACCAGCCTGATGCCATTATCCACTCACCAGCCTGATGCCATTATCCACTCACCAGCCTGATGTCATTATCCACTCACCAGCCTGATGTCATTATCCACTCACCAGCCTGATGCCATTATCCACTAACCAGCCTGATGCCATTATCCACTCACCAGCCTGATGTCATTATCCACTCACCAGCCTGATGTCATTATCCACTCACCAGCCTGATGCCATTATCCACTCACCAGCCTGATGCCATTATCCACTCACCAGCCTGATGCCATTATCCACTCACCAGCCTGATGCCATTATCCACTCACCAGCCTGATGCCATTATCCACTCACCAGCCTGATGCCATTATCCACTCACCAGCCTGATGCCATTATCCACTCACCAGCCTGATGCCATTATCCACTCACCAGCCTGATGCCATTATCCACTCACCAGCCTGATGTCATTATCCACTCACCAGCCTGATGTCATTATCCACTCACCAGCCTGATGCCATTATCCACTCACCAGCCTGATGCCATTATCCACTCACCAGCCTGATGCCATTATCCACTCACCAGCCTGATGCCATTATCCACTCACCAGCCTGATGCCATTATCCACTCACCAGCCTGATGCCATTATCCACTCACCAGCCTGATGCCATTATCCACTCACCAGCCTGATGCCATTATCCACTCACCAGCCTGATGCCATTATCCACTCACCAGCCTAATGTCATTATCCACTCACCAGCCTGATGCCATTATCCACTCACCAGCCTGATGCCATTATCCACTCACCAGCCTGATGCCATTATCCACTCACCAGCCTGATGCCATTATCCACTCACCAGCCTGATGCCATTATCCACTCACCAGCCTGATGCCATTATCCACTCACCAGCCTGATGCCATTATCCACTCACCAGCCTGATGCCATTATCCACTCACCAGCCTGATGCCATTATCCACTCACCAGCCTGATGCCATTATCCACTCACCAGCCTGATGTCATTATCCACTCACCAGCCTGATGCCATTATCCACTCACCAGCCTGATGCCATTATCCACTCACCAGCCTGATGCCATTATCCACTCACCAGCCTGATGCCATTATCCACTCACCAGCCTGATGCCATTATCCACTCACCAGCCTGATACCATTATCCACTAACCAGCCTGATGCCATTATCCACTCACCAGCCTGATGCCATTATCCACTCACCAGCCTGATGCCATTATCCACTCACCAGCCTGATGCCATTATCCACTCACCAGCCTGATGCCATTATCCACTCACCAGCCTGATGCCATTATCCACTCACCAGCCTGATGTCATTATCCACTCACCAGCCTGATGCCATTATCCACTCACCAGCCTAATGTCATTATCCACTCACCAGCCTGATGTCATTATCCACTCACCAGCCTGATGTCATTATCCACTCACCAGCCTGATGCCATTATCCACTAACCAGCCTGATGCCATTATCCACTCACCAGCCTGATGCCATTATCCACTCACCAGCCTGATGCCATTATCCACTCACCAGCCTGATGCCATTATCCACTCACCAGCCTGATGCCATTATCCACTCACCAGCCTGCACGCCTACAAGGCTAGGCCTACCTCCCAGCCGAGTCCACCGCTGTGGTTAAAACGTATCCTCACCCACTCCATCTCTCACTCCCGCTTGCCCCATGCGGCTGGGCTCACCTCATGAGGCTGGGCTCACCTCATGCGGCTGGGCTCACCTCATGAGGCTGGGCTCACCTCATGAGGCTGGGCTCACCTCATGCGGCTGGGCTCACCTCATGCGGCTGGGCTCACCTCATGCGGCTGGGCTCACCTCATGAGGCTGGGCTCACCTCATGCGGCTGGGCTCACCTCAACGAGCAGCAGGCTGACGGCAGCGAGGCGGCAGAGGTCGAGGTTGCGCAGCACAAACGCCCTCTCCTTCTCGTACTCGCCCGTGGAGTCCTCCGGCACGTCCTGGTGCATGCAAGGGGTGGGAGGGGAGGGGGCAAGAAGGTTGGGATGAAGGGACTAGGCAAATGGAGCAGCTTGGAAGGTGGAGGCTGCGCAGCACCAACGCCCTCTCCCTCTCTAGCATGCCTGTCGCTGTTGGGTCTTCGGTACGTCCTCGTGCATGCGAGGGGCCGGGGGCGAGGGGCCCAGGCACGAGGGGCGAGGGGTGAGGGGTGAGGTGTAAGGGGTAAGGGGCGAGAAGGTTGGGCAGAAGGGAGAGGTGATAAATGGAGTGACTTGGACGGCGGTGATGATGGGGTAGCAGCAGCGCACGCTGACACCCTCCCCCACACATGCACTCTCATTCACCCACTCACTCCCTGGGTTCCATGCGAAGGACAGTTACCAGGTTACATCTTAAGGTAGCTGGGCTACTTCCAGAGGGTGGTTACCATGTTACATCTGAAGTAGCTGGGTTACATGCGAAGGGCATCAATTATGTTAAATGTGAAGGTGGTTACCAGGTTGCATGCAAGGGGTGGTCACCTGAAGGCAGACGAGGGCAGCGAGGGATCCTTGGATGAGCAGCAGCACGCACAGGCCGAACTGGTACTGTGGGCGGCCAGGAGCCGTGGGGAACGAGGAGGCACAGACAACAGGAAGGCGATGGAAAGAACAAAAAAAACAGTCGATGGTTGGTGGACAGACAAGTCAAATAGTGGTGGAATTGGGTGCATGCAGCATACACCATCATGCATGCAGCATACACCATCACGCATGCAGCAAACACCATCACGCATGCAGCATACACCATCACGCATGCAGCAAGAGAAGCTGGGATGTGGCAGGCAAGGCAGCAGTGCAGTGACGTACGCATGAGAGGCAGCAGCCGTTGTTGCTCTCTGCTGCCACGGCCCCCACTATGGTGACCAGTGTGAGCAGCGCTCCCCCCCCCACCAACACGTAGATGAACCTGCCAGGCGGAGGACGAGGGGCAAGGGGCGGGGTTGGGGGGACGGCAGGAGACGGGGAGAGGGGCAAAGGGCGGGGGAGAAGGGGGAAACGTGGGAGGGCGAAGGGGAAGGGAGTATGGGCGAGGAGGAGAGGGGAGGGGGGATATGGAGGTGAGTGAACGCCGGAGGTTCAAATGGGGGCAGCAGAGGCAGTGTGGCGGATGGACGGAAGGCGAGTGCGAGCACGCAGGGACGGATGAGCCTGGCAAATCGATGAACACACGGCTCGGGGCGGGGCGGGAGGGAGAAGGAAGGGGGACGGAGGGAGGGGGGAGGGGAAAGGAGAGAGGGCAGAGGGGAGACGGAAGCGGGGAGGAAGGTGGGGCAAGTGCGGTACCAGAGGTGGGGCAGGCGCAGCTCGTTGCTGCCCGCCCCCATCTGCCTCCTGCCGCCAAGGCTCCTCGCCCTGCTGCTGGCGGTGCTGCCACTGACGAGTTGTGTAGCGCCAGGGCAGCGGCGAGGATAGGCGCATTGAGACGGGGGCGAGGGACGAGGAGGAGGAGAGAGGGGAGGGCGAGGGAGAGGGAGAAGGGGGGCTGGGTGGATGGAGGTCGGGGTCGAGGTGGACGAGGCGCGAGAGGGAGTACACAATCAGAAGTACCCCCACGATGGCGAGGGCGAAGTTGAAGAGCTTCAGCAGGCACTGCAGGAAGCCGCGACACGCCATGCCTGCTGCTGGTGCCGCTGGTGCTGGTGCTGCTGCTGCTGCTGCCGGGTGCACATGAATGGGGCACGTGAATTTTTCACGTGAATGGGGCACGTGAATGGGGCGGAACGAACAGTAGGGGCAAGGGAGCAAGGGCACGTAAAATGAGAATCAGCTCCTTGCGGTGCTGCTGTGGTGTGGTGCGTGGGGGTGGGTGAACGGGCAGTACGCAACGCCAAGTGGTGGACATGCTGCAGGCGGTGCACGACACACAGGCCGGCTTGAATCCGTGCAGTGTGCTTATAGCGAGAGGGAAATGAGGGAGGGGACGGATTGGCACAGCAAGCAGGTGGAAGGAGGTGTGGGAACAAGAGGTGAATGGAGGGAGGTGTGGGTGTTGGTGGGGCACTGGGACCATTCCCCTGTTGAGTGCGGAGGGCTACAGGCGCAACCTGGGGGGTTATGGGTGCGCTACCCATAGCCCTTTGAACCCACTGGGTAGCAGCGTGGGCCAACAGTGAGGAGTCTAGGCAGAGGAGGAAAGGCGAGATGCAGGGAGAGGCGGGGCGGGACAAATGGGAGAAGAGGGCATGAGCGGCGCGGCACGGGAGTGGCGAAGGCAGTTCTTGAAGGGCGCCGGGGGGAATTTTGCGCCTCATAGGTGTTTAAAGGGCGGCGAACGACGACGACAAACGCATGGCAGCCGTGTCCGCGCGCGGCGCGAGCAACGGTTCAGCCGGGACTGCCTGGGCAGTGACGCGACACGGGGGGGTCGATCCGAATCGACCGTAGCGGATAGGACGAGCGCGAGAAGCGGCGGGCCGGAGGAGGAGGGCGACGCGGAGGCATGGCTCGACGTGACGACGAGCTCATCTCCCCTCTCCTCTCTCCTCTCTCCTCTCTCCTCTCTCCTCTCTCCTCGTCTCTCCTCGTCTCTCCTCGTCTCTCCTCGTCTCTCCTCTCTCCTCGTCTCTCCTCGTCTCTCATCTTGCGTTGTTAACGACTTAGAAACTAGCTCGAGCTCGCAGGTCCCGCCTTCCAGTTGGACGGAGGAGAGACGCGGAGAGAGGAGGACACGAAGGAGCGTACCTTGGGTGGGATGAGTTCGACCCACGAGGTAATCGGACAGCGCGCGAAACTCAGACCGAAAATCGGAAGCGGAGGCGACTTGCGCGGAGAGGGGAGCAACGCGGAAACGGCCTTTCTATGCCGTGCTTGCGACGCGAGTGCTGGGCAAGGGATTAGGCTGTAGTTGCTTGTGCTGACTAGTCGTGAGGAATGCGACCTCGATGATTGGATCATGGGGATTTGTGTTGGATGGCGATTCAGTCTCGAAATTATCGATCAGCAGCGTGCTGCGACGTTGGGCGCGAGCTTGGCGAATTCCGCGAAACTCGACTTTGCGAGATTGAGGATGTGCTGAACCAAAGAATCAGGTAACCGGTGGTTTCGTGGTTTCATGCAGAGCGAATTTGAAACCAGATCTGGCGGAATTACCCGCCAGGGTCCTGTCGGTCACTGCTACCCACATCCTCTGCGCATCAAACAGATCACCCGCGTGCAATCGATCTTAGCCGTCGCTTGCTTGCGTCCTGAGCAGCGCGCCGATCGCAAACATCTCTTTCCAAGCACTCGCCTGCTCTCGCCCGCGCGCACAAACAGGGTGACGAGACGGCTTTAGATTGAGGAACTCATCTGCTCGCACCCTCGCGCGCCCGCGCAGTCGCTGCATCGCGCGCGCTCACCGCTTCCGCGCACGCGCCATGGCTTCCCCTCTGCGCCTCTCGCCCGCGCTGCTTCGACCGTCCCCACTTCCCGGGTAGCGCGCCTTCGCACTCGCGCCTTCCGCGCGAGAGTTGTCGTTACAAACAGAACCGATCAAGCAACCTCGACACGACCATTACCACAATTGCGAAGCGTGTATGAACTGTGCCGCTGAGACGATGATCCCTTAAGACTAACTTCTTATGCCTGCCCTTCCCCTCCCCCGCACCGTCCCTGCCCTGCAGGGAAATTCACCTCTGGTGCGTCAAATTGCCCTCTTCCTCCTCCTCCACCGCACGCTCCTCTTCCTCTGCTTTCGCCGATCCCTCCCTGCTCACCTCCTATTGGTCGCTGCTGAGTCAGCAGGAAAAGCACCGGATCGCATCGTCACCGCCGCATCAGCAGCACGCAGCCGCCACGCTGCCATCCCCTCGCCAGCTGGCGGACGCCTATTGGCTGAGTGGCGGCGACTCCGTGCCGTCCCCCTCGCTGCCGTGGCCGCTGTCCCCCGCGCAGCTGCAGCAGCTGCTCACGCGCGCCCTCGTGCGCGTCTCGCTCGCCCGCTGTGAGTCGCGCGCCCGCTGTGAGTCGCTCGCCCCGCTGTGAGTCGCGCGCCCGCTGTGAGTCGCTCGCCCGCTGTGAGTCGCGCGCCCGCTGTGAGTCGCTCGCCCGCTGTGAGTCGCGCGCCCGCTGTGAGTCGCTCGCCCGCTGTGAGTCGCGCGCCCGCTGTGAGTCGCGCGCCCGCTGTGAGTCGCGCGCCCGCTGTGAGTCGCTCGCCCGCTGTGAGTCGCTCGCCCGCTGTGAGTCGCTCGCCCGCTGTGAGTCGCTCGCCCGCTGTGAGTCGCGCGCCCGCTGTGAGTCGCGCGCCCGCTGTGAGTCGCTCGCCCGCTGTGAGTCGCTCGCCCGCTGTGAGTCGCTCGCCCGCTGTGAGTCGCTCGCCCGCTGTGAGTCGCGCGCCCGCTGTGAGTCGCTCGCCCGCTGTGAGTCGCTCGCCCGCTGTGAGTCGCTCGCCCGCTGTGAGTCGCTCGCCCGCTGTGAGTCGCGCGCCCGCTGTGAGTCGCTCGCCCGCTGTGTGTCGCTCGCCCGCTGTGAGTCGCGCGCCCGCTGTGAGTCGCTCGCCCGCTGTGAGTCGCTCGCCCGCTGTGAGTCGCTCGCCCGCTGTGAGTCGCTCGCCCGCTGTGAGTCGCTCGCCCGCTGTGAGTCGCTCGCCCGCTGTGAGTCGCTCGCCCGCTTGTGAGTCGCTCGCCCGCTGTGAGTCGCTCGCCCGCTGTGAGTCGCGCGCCTGCTGTGAGTCGCGCGCCCGCTGTGAGTCGCTCGCCCGCTGTGAGTCGCTCGCCCGCTGTGAGTCGCTCGCCCGCTGTGAGTCGCTCGCCCGCTGTGAGTCGCTCGCCCGCTGTGAGTCGCTCGCCCGCTGTGAGTCGCTCGCCCGCTGTGAGTCGCTCGCCTGCTGTGAGTCGCGCGCCCGCTGTGAGTCGCTCGCCCGCTGTGAGTCGCTCGCCCGCTGTGAGTCGCTCGTCCGCTGTGAGTCGCTCGCCCGCTGTGAGTCGCTCGCCCGCTGTGAGTCGCTCGCCCGCTGTGAGTCGCTCGCCCGCTGTGAGTCGCTCGCCCGCTGTGAGTCGCTCGCCCGCTGTGAGTCGCTCGCCCGCTGTGAGTCGCTCGCCCGCTGTGAGTCGCTCGCCCGCTGTGAGTCGCGCGCCCGCTGTGAGTCGCTCGCCCGCTGTGAGTCGCGCGCCCGCTGTGAGTCGCTCGCCCGCTGTGAGTCGCTCGCCCGCTGTGAGTCGCGCGCCCGCTGTGAGTCGCTCGCCCGCTGTGAGTCGCTCGCCCACTGTGAGTCGCTCGCCCGCTGTGAGTCGTGCTTGCGCGGGCTGCTTGGGACGCTCGCTGGATCCTCACCACGGCTGTGCTGCACTGGAAGCTCCTCACAACGGTTTGCTCTGTTGGCATGCATGTGCGATACACCACGTGCATTCACCCACTTGTCGAACCGTGTACAGAGTCATGCACTCGCTCGCTCACTCACAATCCTCACCTGTACGCTCATCCGCCCACACATCTCGCGCCCCTCCCTTCCCCCCCACCTCCCCTCCCCTCCCCTCCCCCCTCCTTCCCCTCCCCTCCCCTCCCCTCCCCTCCCCTCCCCTCCCCTCCCCTCCCCTCCCTTCCTCTCACCTCCCCTCCCCCCCCTTCCCTTCCCTACCCCCACCCCCCAGACCTGGAGGGGCGGGTGCACCCGGGGGACATTCTCTTCCGCGCCAACCCCTGGGGCAAGCCGCAGGTGGGATGAGGGGCAAGCCGCAGGTGGGATGAGGGGCAAGCCGCAGGTGGGATGAGGGGCAAGCCGCAGGTGGGATGAGGGGCAAGCCGCAGGTGGGATGAGGGGCAAGCCGCAGGTGGGATGAGGGGCAAGCCGCAGGTGGGATGAGGGGCAAGCCGCAGGTGGGATGAGGGGCAAGCCGCAGGTGGGATGAGGGGCAAGCCGCAGGTGGGATGAGGGGCAAGCCGCAGGTGGGATGAGGGGCGAGCAAGGAATCAGGTGCAGTGACGGGGTTGGATAAAAGGGCTGCATGGCAGGCAGGCGCACACGGGGTAGGAGGAGGAATGGCAGTGGGGCGGACAGGACTGGCAGGCTTGCAGTTCACTCGGTAACCGCCGCCCCCCCTTCCCTCTGCTGCTCCCACTTCTTGTTTTCTCCTCTTCTTCCTGTTGACTTGGTGATGTGTTCTGATTCTCAACATTGCATGCTGCCTGCTCCTGCCTTGTTAACTCCGCCCTTCCTGCTGTGTCCCCCCACCCTCTCACCAGGTGTGCTGGGCCTCCACCTTCAACCCTGCCTCGCCCAACCCACGCACCCAGCCCTGGCAGGCGCATGAGAAGGAGGGGGCAAAGCATGCATCACAGAGGAGCAGCGCGGACAGCAGAGAGGCAGGGCAGGCGTCTGTGAGCATGGAGAAGGCAGGTCACCCCTTGCAGTGGCGGCGCGAGGAAGCTGCTGAGACCGCCACGGGCAGGGAATGCGGGAGTAAGCGTGCAGGTGACACGGTGACTAGTAGCAGCAAGAGTTCTCTTGACACCCGCCGTGATGACTCGTGCACAACCAGCAGCAGCAGCAGCAGCAGCAGCAGCAGCAGCAGCAGCAGCAGCAGCAGCAGCAGCAGCAGCAGCAGCAGCAGCAGCAGCAGCAGCAGCAGCAGCAGCAGCAGAAGCCCGGGCGACAGCAGCAGTGGAGCAGTGGCGTTGCATTTCAACGTGAGTCACACGGAGGGTCTGATCGCCGTGGCGGTGACGGCCGCCATGCCCGTGGGCGTGGACGTGGAGGGCACCGCTCGCTGCCCCCGGAGGGGCGTGCTGCCCGTGGCCCGCCGGCGGTTCGCCGCGGAGGAGGCGGCGTGGGTGGGCGCGGGGCGCGATGAGACGGAGCGGCAGCGGCGCTTCGTGCACCTGTGGACGCTCAAGGTGGGCGGCGGGGGGATGGGGAGGGTGAAGGGGGGAGGAGGGGCAAGGGGAGGGTGAAGGGGGGGAGGAGGGGCAAGGGGAGGGTGAAGGGGGGAGGAGGGGCAAGGGGAGGGTGAAGGGGGGAGGAGGGGCAAGGGGAGGGTGAAGGGGGGAGGAGGGGCAAGGGGAGGGTGAAGGGGGGGAGGAGGGGCAAGGGGAGGGTGAAGGGGGGAGGAGGGGCAAGGGGAGGGTGAAGGGGGGAGGAGGGGCAAGGGGAGGGTGAAGGGGGGAGGAGGGGGAAGGGGAGAGGATGGGGAAGGGAGAGGGGGGGAAAGGTGAGAGGAGGGAACATTGGAGTGCAGGGTGACACTCCCCCCACCAAATGCATTGGCGCAGGGCTGCCCTGCCCGTGGCTCAGCGCTTGCTTTCGTTTCTTCCACCTCACCCAACCCCTCACTCCCTCTGGCACCATTTCTCTCCCCTCGCCTCTCCCCCTGCCCCACATTTCTCCCCTTCCACGGCCCTACCACCCCGCTCTTCCCTCATGGTTTGCCCCCTCCTATGTGTCCTGCGGCTCTGTGCACGGGTCCCTGCCAGGAGGCGTACGTGAAGGCGCACGGGAGGGGCATGAGCGCACTGCCCTTCCGCTCCTTCGCCTTCCGCCTCTCACCGTCGCACCAAGCTGCCCTCGCCCTCCACCACGCCCTCGCTCCCCCTCGCCGCGCCCACCAGGTCAGCGTGCCTCCCTGCTCCCCTGCACCTCTCCCTCCCCCCTGTGGGACCTGTTTCAGTCAAGGCAGTACCCATGTGGAAGCATGCAGTCGTCCTCTTTGACACATGACCTCACAGGTTGCATGCAAATGGTCGCATCTTCCTCTCTCCCCCCTCCTCGCCCTCACAGGCGTGGGCCATAGGCCTCACCCACCACTCCAGCCCCGCCCCTCCTCTGCTCGCCTGCGACCAACCATCCCCCGGTGCCTCCCCTGCCACTCACTCTTTGCCTCATGCCTCGTCGCACGAGATGCTCGCCTGCGATGTTGATGTGGCGCAACCAGAGAGCGCCATGTGGCGCAGCATGCTTGTCCAGCTGTCGCCAGCCCACGTGCTTGCTTTGAGCCTGGGCTGCCAGCATCTGCCCCACCACCATGCCTTGCGCCTGCATGCGTGGAACACTGTTCCTCTCCTAAGAGATGAGTCTGTTACAGACATGTCGGGGCTTGGCATCTCACTTTAGTTGATGTTTTATATTATAAACTAAGTAGTTTATGGAGAATGGCTGATTGACTAGGGGGGGAGTACCAGAAGAGTGTCGAGAGTTTTGGTGTACCGTCATCACCCGGATATACCCCCAGGCCTATGTTACACCCATGCGGCTATAATCGTACTAGTGGGCTTATAGCCGGTTGCCGATTATAAGCCCACCCCAAGTTGTGTCAATCTTCGTATAAGCGCACCCAATGAATTCTGGTGTTTTTTTGTAGCGAAATCACCACTAACGCGCCTAAACGAATCGTCACAGACGTGCCTGACGAAATCCCCCCTGGCTCGCTTGGCAAAATTGCCACAGGAGGTGCACGTGCGCGAAATCTGCAACATTTGAGCAGGTGCTGACTCGGATTCTTGACTGTACGACACATTCTCGGAACTTTTCAGCAGCGATCCTCTTTGTGTAAGCATCGATTTAAATCGCCAGGGTGAAATCTGCGTTCCAGTGTTATAAAATCAAAATTCCATAAGTGTCATTTATTTAGCCCATGGGGTTATAAAATTTACCACATTATAAGCCCACCCACCATTTTTCCAGGTTTTTTTACACCCCCACCTGGGGGTATATCCGGGTGATGACGGTACCCCCTAAGATGTACCGTACCTCGCTACAGCCTAACCAACATATTAACATAGTTTAACACGCCCCCATAGGCTAAGTGAGGGGCATCAAAACGAGCAAGACAGACAAGCGGTCACAAGGTAAGTCTAGAGAAGCAACGCAACAAAGCTCAATGTGCATCACAAAGTCACCACATTGTCTGAGCACAAAGAAGAGGCCACCAAGGCCAGTTCAAGAGTTCACAGGTATATATAAGACAAGCAGAGTAAGAAAAAGGGGTAAGACTACAGCAACCGAGGGCCTACCTCAACAAGGTCTTGTTGCAGACAGGGCATGGTGGTCACCAGGCGGATGGGCTTTGGTGAAGATGTATGCAGTGTTGGCCGCTGAGGCCACAAAATCCCAGGGCCCTCGCTAGTCCCTGAACTCCCCCGATGCATCAGACGGGCCCGCCCGTCTGATCCATAAGAAATGTCTAGTTTTCCTTGTCTTATGGATCAGAAAGTGTAGCCATTCTTGTATGATCAATCACAAAAATCTTAAAAATAACCTACTACTCCTACATTCACTGCTACAGCTCCACAATTTTGACTTAAGCACATCATCCAATTAACAACCAGGATAGTCATTATCGCCAAGTGCAACAGTCCCACGCACATCTACTCTTTCGTTTTCACTGTCACTAACTAGACTTGGGCTTAGGCTTTCTTTCTACGCTTGCATTCTCCAAGCGACATAGGTGTATTCTCAGCTGCTTTGTTAGGTGCTGGAGCCTCTGTCTATGCCCCTGTGTGCTTGGTCTTGCTGTAAGCCTCTCCACTGACTTCTCTTGCAGGGCTCCTCTTTTTTTATGCGCGCCACATATTCATTACGTCGTCCCAGTCGGGATCACACTGGAGCAAGGAGATGCAAATGAGGTCCGCGAGTCGCGCGTTGCAGAGGTTGCTCCGGAGCCAGGACTTAATGACGTTCTGGCGACTGAAGCCACGCTCGCACTCCACGGTGCTGAGCGGAAGAACGGTTACAGCCACCCACAGTCGACCGAGATTGAGAAACGAGAATTCCCAATCTCCACTCCTCATCATGTTCTTCAGGCCCACATGGAACGCTTGACCCTTGTACTGCGACGCCATCACTCGGGTGAAGCGGGGCAGCTCCCGCTCGGCCTTCTTCCAGTTGACTCCTGTTAACACATACAACACACGTAGTGAATATAAAACTGTGTACAAGGTTCAGTAGACTTAACAAATACTTGCACACATGGAAAGCGTGAACAAACCGTACTTGGCAGAGAACACTTGTACATCTGGCGGAGGGAGCTGAACCACTCCGCGCACAGACGGTCATGCTTGGCCACGTCCTCCGGGTAGGCGTCCGGCAGAAAAAGCTTGGCCCCTACGAGGGATTTCAAGCTGCGCGTGCGGATAACAGCCTATCGATCACCTCCTTCGCAAAGAGGGTGGTGAGGGTGACACAGGATTCAAGGTCACCCTTTGAATCTTGCCCGTCCACTTCCAACTCATGAAGCTTAAAGCGATGGGTAACGGCGGTGCCCCATCCATCCCCTTTATGGATTTGCCTGGACGATGCTTTATCTCAAAGTAGTATTCTTGTAACTTCATAGCCCAGCGGGCGTTGCGACCTGTCAAGTCAGGTGTGTGCATGAGCTAAAATAAAGGCTGGTAATTGGTTACCAGGGAAAACCTCCGCCCGTGAAGATGCACCCTAAAGTGCTTCACTGCCCATAATTCCGCCCTCGTAGGACGAGTAGTTAGCTTTCGCCGCATTGCATTTTCGTCTCGCAAAGGCCACCACCTTCTCCATCCCTTCCTTAACCTGCGCTAGCACTGCTCCCATGACCGCACTACTCCAGCCCGTGTACAGCACCAATGGCTAGTCCGCCTCAGCCAACTCCGACACCGCCCCATTCTTCACTGCCCCCATCAGGTCATGGACCACCTTCTCCTACTCTTCACCCCATTCCTACTTCTGGTCCTTCCACAGCAGCTGGTTCAGAGGGGTTGCTCGCCGACTAAAGTTCGGCACGGACTTCCTATAGTAATTGAGGAACCCCAGAAGAGCCCTCAATGCTCCCTTGTCCTTCGGCACGGTGACTCGATCCAGGACCTCTACCTTTGCCTTCTGAATGCTAATCTTTCCCCCCTCCACCTCGAGCCCCAAATGCTCCACTGTCAGCTGCCATGTCGGCTTCTCGGATGTCATGTCGGTCCCGTCTTCTCGATCGCCTCTTGTGTGGCTTCGACATACCTCACGTGAGACTTGCTGTCCGTGCTGAACACTTTCACATTGCCTATGTAGCAGGCTGCATTCGGCACGTCCCTTAACACTTGGTCCATTGTTTTCAGAAACTCCCCTGACCCAGACTTCAAGCCAAATAGCATCATGTGCCACTCGTACTGCCCGTCCGGCCCATGGAATGCCGTCTTCTTCTTATCCTCTTCCGCGATGGGTATCTGATTAAAACTCTGCCTAAGATCCAGCGTGGTGAACACCTGGGCGTCTGCCAACTTATCGAATATCTCATCCACCATTGGGGTCTGGTACCGCTTCATCACGATCACCTTGTTAAGGCCCCTATAGTCCCCGCACATCCGCTTCAATAGCACCTTTCCCGTCATGTATGTCTGCTCAGCCACCACCGTTGCAGCTGCGTATTCCGAGGTCGATCGCCTAATTAGCCCCGCCTCCATCAGCTCCTGACATTTCTCGGTGCACACCCTTGTCTCCTCCGTTGTCATTCTCCTACGCCTGTGATACACCGGCACCTCTGTCGTGAGATCTATGGTGATGTGTGCCACTTTGCAGCGCCCTAATTCCTTCACTGAATACGCGAACGCCGCCTTGTGCTGCCTCAGTACTTCCTTCAGCTCCGCCGCATCCTCCTCTGCCATCCCTTCTCCCATTTCACGCTCCTTTTCCTCTTTCTCCGCCACCTAGAGTTCCCCGTTGTTCCAGCCCACTTCCTGATATTTATTTTCGAGCACAATCTCTGGCAGCTTGCCCCCTAGTGACTGTTCGGCGGTCTCTGGCTGCTCCTTGCCCTTTGGTTTCTTAGTGTTGGCCATCAGAGCGAAATCCAGTGGGGTTAGGCGCCCGAACTCACTCACATAGCTTTCCCTTTGCCTAGTCTCTTCCACAGCCGCTTCCACCCAGCTGAAATCCTCATGCTTCTTATCCACCATCTCCTCTTCCCATATCCCTAGAAGCCTTATCTCTGCCCACTCTGCATAAGGCTGGTAGTCTTCCTCCTCCTCATTCCTAAGGATAGACCTATCTCTCGCGACCGGATTGCCCAATGTCTGTTGTGCTCGCTCAGTCTCATCTAACTCCCCCAGCATCGCCCTCGCCAGGGCCTCCTTTGCTGCTGCCGGAGCCGTCTGTGGCCTCACCGCTGTTGCTTTCTGCAGCTTCCTCTCCAAACTTGCCTCTGTATGGTACATCCAAATAGTCGCCACCAGCCAATGCATCATGTTCAGGTCCATGGCCCGCCCCAAGGCCCTCCTCCTTTCCTTCTCTGTCACCTCTGGGTGAGCTATTGCGTCTTCCATGAACCCCATTGCTAGCTCCCTTTCCCATGCTTGCTTTTTATAGTCATACACCATCCCTGGTCTAGGCCCTCATGCTCGATGAATGCGGCGGCCCCTTAGTCGGCCAAGCCTGCCTCGGCTTGCCCACCACATTGCACTGGAACTGGGTGGGGTGGTCCAGGTGTGTTACACACGCTGGCACCCCATGCAGTTCCAAAATGTCCTCCATCAACAGCGGCACTGGCCATCCGATTAGCAGCAGACGGTAACGTAGAGCCGCTTCTATCACCCCGTTCATCCAGTACCTCCGTACTCAATGAGTGGGGCTCCCAGACTACGCCAGCTCACAAGCCACTCCTGGCCTAGCTTCGTGGTCACCTCTGCCTGCGCCACCTGCACCTGCTCCCGGACATCTCCCTCCATATCCACGTTTTCCACGATGTCAACACGCCCCCCTGGATCTTTTTTATCAGCTTTAACACTCTCACAAGCTCTCTGAAGAGCCGGCTTCGCTCGTCCTGCATGCCCGCTCCCTTCCCCGTACAAGAGTATCCCTGACAATCCCAGCCTACTGTCACTATATATATCCTTCCCCATTGCCTGATTGCCATCTCATCTGCGTATTGTATGTGTCATCCCTGACTTTCCGTGCTTGCTTCCATCGCTCCGGTCATGAACTGGTGCGGGTATCGCTACTGCAGCTGCTCAGCATGCCACCACGCCAATTTCACGGCCTCTGGATCTTTCTCCACTAGTATCCACTTGTCCATACATGCCCACGCCTTCAGCAGCGCTGCCAGCCCTGTATCGATTCCCCCAAATAGCTTTAACACCACCGTTGGTCCCAATAGGTGCTTC